GGAGAGTTCAATCATGTTTGGTAGTGGCGTAATCAGTCACCACCAAGCTTGTAGCTGGAACACAGCTTGGCATGAGAGACAGGTCACCTTCCAGGCATGAACTTGAGTCTTAATTTCATGGTCTTCAGTGTGGTATCAGGTACTAAAGGGGACTGACAGCTCTGCTTTATCCAGCTCCATTGTCACGTCTTTTACCATCAGAGAAAATCATCGATGGTGTTTGACCAAAGGGAAGTTTGTGTTCTTGGCAGGTGGCAGCTGGGCTCCTCCACTGGGGAGGTGCCAGGGGCAGTGTAGTGTCAGTGGAGTCTGTCTGGGTGCAGCTGCCTCTGAGCAGAGAGTGGAGCATTTGTCAGACTGCAGAGCATAAGGTACTTTATGCTGGGCTTTTTCTTCAATCTCCACCATCTCCTGCTTTTTTCCTGTTGGATTGAGAGCACCAAGGGAAGGAACAGCGCAATGTTTGCTCTAATACAGAGCAGTAGTTCTGCTGCTAAGAAACCTTTAATGTAGGATACTGTGTGCATAAGAGACCAAGCAATGTCATTATTCTTTCATCCAGAAGAGGAGAAAGCATGACTCCACTGTTTTATGATTTTTCTTCATCAGTATGAGAGTGGCTGCAGGATCACTGCAGTTGCTTAAGGATGACTAAGCCTTGATTTTATACTGTCAGCCCTACTTATGTATCTCACTGTATTTCACTTCCATTCAGTAACAGTGTGATAAATCTGGTGCTCTGAATGGAAACTTTCTTTGCCAAATATCTGTGCATGGCTTTTGGCTGGTCTCTCTACTCGTGTATCTCTCTCTTCTCCCTCTCCTCTGTCCCTACTCTTCTAGTCACCACAGACATAAGTTTCAGAGTAGAACTGTGTTTTTACCTTTCTTGTTTTACCATTGGTTTGGGTTTGTATTTTGTTTTCTTTTTTGATGTTCCCTTCTGGAAAAAAAAAGAAGTCTGTTTTCTCCAGATGATTCTCTTTTCCAGTTTTATTCACAGTTTGCATGTCTTACTGCTAATTCCACAAAGAATAGTTCTACTTATTCTTCACATCAAGAAAAGGACTGATGTTTTTTAGTTCACTTGTATATACTCTTATAATTCTTGGAAAAAGGTAGCTATATTCTGATTTTTCTAGTAGTTTCCATTTCTCCCAGATTTACCCTTTCCTCTGACTTATGTAAGTGTTCCAGTCCAGGCTGACATTTTAGTACCTTATATTTTGTGTAATATTTATTTCTTATAAAGTTTAAACATCTCAAAAATTCCTCAACACTTTAGTCATTCCTTTTGCTTTGTTTTGTCCAATTTTTGTCCAAATATTTAGCACAAAATGAATGTTGCTAGTAAAACCAGTGTATTCAGGTTTTTTTATGCTTTATTTGGGAACTGCTGAGCTTGGGATTAGAATGGTTGCTGAATGGATGTGACAGCTGGAATCACACCCAGGCCCCATGGGCAGACAGGATGCATGGCAGGGAGGATTCCCTATCCTCGCTCTCCTGGCTGAAGGGACTGAAGGGACAGGGGCAGTGGCAGCAAGCTCCTGCCCAGCACAGCAGGAGCATCTCCTCTGTGTCTGTCCCACCTGTCCAGATGCCCTGGTATAGTCCACCTACTGAGGCTGTCCCAAGTTATAGGTGATAGGCCTTGATCTGTGCCAGAGGAGTTTTAGATTAGATGCTAGGAACAGTTTTGTCACCAAAGATGTCAAGCACTGGAACAGGCTGCCCAGGGAAGTGGTTGAATCTCCATCCTGGAGGTATTCAGAAGACATGTAGATGTGGCACTCGGATATGATTTAGAGGTGGACTTGGCAGTGCTGGGAAACAAAAAATGGATTCAGTAATGCTAGAGGTCATTTTCATCCTAAACTGTTTTATGATTTTACTTCACTAGAAATGAGGATAAAACCAAGATTTGTATTTTAATGAGAAAATACCAAAATCTCCCTCAAGATTTTTAATTTCTCTGTTTCATGAATCTGTCTCTGCTTGAACAGTCAAAGTAGGCTTGGCAGTGTGAACCAGCAGTGAATTTCTCTGAGCTCTTTGATAGCACTGTCACTGCAATGAGAACATGGGTATAGTCTCCAAATTAAGCTTGGTAGGTGCTGATTTTTACAGTAGCTATATGTTGATGCAGCTACCACATAATTTGATGAATTTCAGTACCTGGAGTATCTTTTTGGCCACGTTTTACTCCTTCAGTTTTGTAAATATTTTGTGAGGGCTGTTTTCTTCAAGGAAACCAAAATGCATTTCTAGTATTTGAGTTACATTTTCTTTATAGGACTTTGGGGATATTGCATCATCTGACTTTTGTTACGTTGTTATATGAGTCTGACAGGATAACATGGAGATAAAGCAGAGATCCATTTGGTTTGTTAATAAATTTTGGGTTATTAATAAAGATTTATCAGTCTTGATACTAGATTGCTTGACAGCTTTTCTATAAAATTTGCACTTTGAAATTCTAGCCATTTTGCTGTACTTGAACACATGAACACAAGATGTGTTAAAAAAAGACAATATGGTTAAGATTGCATGGCTGATGGCAATCTGGAAGACTTGGAGTGTTTTTTGCTCAATGCTCACAAGCAGACATACTGTTTTCATCATGCTGACTTGATTGTGCTTCATAGCTCTGCCCTTTGTCAGCACTTGTGGTGGCTTGTGCAGCTGTAACTCAGGTGTGCTTGTGTGCTGCTCTGTCTGCCAGCACCATGGAGATTCTTCACCAAATTTAATCAGTAGCTTTTAACTTCTGAAATCTCTTTATTTCTTTCTCAGTGACCCATAAGCCTCCTCTTGCAAGTGAAGTAAATGAGAAAATTAAAGAGAAGCTGCCTAAAGAGATTTACTTACTGTATGGAAATCCACCATGGTGATTGGCTGCATAAGCCTGCGTGACAAGCTGGAGAGGGAAAAAAAGCAAACCTGCAGCTGTTTGGGATTTATGAATGTGTGACACAAAGAGTAGCTTCATGAAAACAAATGAGCTTTAAAAAGGAAAAAAATCACATGTTAATGAAGTGAAGAAGCAGGAGTAATATTTCTGTTCCCTAAGAGCATAAAAAACCTAACCTAAAAAGCATATATGTGATGTCTTGTGCTGTTCAGTCAGGATTATTAGCTAGTGCTAAGCTGTGCAATCAGTTGAAGCACAAGCTTTTCGTCTCTAGATGCTTGAATTATTCTTAATATTTTTCAAAATCTAAATTGGGTCATAAATATTTAGGCAATTTCAGATTAGCGGCGTAGGGGGTGGAGGGCATTATAAAACACACCATGTGATAGAACAGTTGAGTGCCCTGATTATTAGGCTGTGCAAGTAGACAGAGCCAAGTGGGAGAGACTCTTCACACCAGGGATGAGGGGTGCTGGCTCTGCAGCCAGAGGAGAACCCTGCAAAGTGCCTGCCCATGCCACGCATGACTGGCCTCCATGGAGTCCTTGACAGCCCTGTAGGTACTCAGCAGATGTTTGGAAACATCAGCTGGTCAAGAATCAGCTCTGGTTACTAACAAAGGTCTTACAGAGCTGGGAAATACCTCCTAAGTAAGTGTGGGAAAGCCTAGAAAACGTCCTCCCTGGTGGAGGACCACCCTGCTAAAGAGAAGGGAAAATACAGAAAAGCAAAGATTAGGCATGAGAAAAGATTATCAAAAAAAGAATGGAAGGATTGTTTTATGTCTGCATTACATCAGAAAAAATACTGAGATAGGAGGGGGGAAAAGCCAAATGCACCAAAATAGACATGATGTAAGAAACCAGGCTCTTTAGCTGCTGTGTTTAGTTGGCACATACTCAGGTGACCAGGAGTCATAAATAAGCTAATAAAGATTTTAGAATAAAAAATTAACAAAAAACACCCCTAAAGCATAAAAGCAATGATCTTTAATGCTAGTCTGGTTTCTCTCAGATATCATCCATTGCTTTTCTATTGTAGCTTACAGAAGAGTACGAATAAGCACAATCATTGTGAACAATATTTTTAAGACTTGGTATTAAGTACACCTCACTAAGTTAACCTGCATTGTTCTGTCATCTATTTAGCAGCTGAAATAAAAGATTTTATGGAAATCAGGAAAAGTTGTCCAACTTGATGTTGAGCCAACTTTAAAAATTGGCTGAAGTAGTTTTAAGACTAAGCGGACAATGGGTGACTTTCCTGTAATTGTGTTTTGGAAAACAGCTGAGCTGTTTCAGTTTGAGCTTTCAGGGAAAGAGAATGTGGAAAATCTCAACAGGACATGTTCTATGTAGCAAACACACAGACACAAAAAAGTGAATATGGAACACTGAGGACTTAGGGAACCATTTCTACCTTCTCTAAAATGTTGTGGCTTCTGTTACTGTTATTAGTCATAACAAAAACTACTGGGTTTTTTTTTTTAATCAGTTAGACACACTGATGTTACTTATTCACCTATTTATCTGTACGTTGTTTTGCTATACACTCAGCATTGTACTGCTCAGAAATGCTGCAGAAAAAGAAGGTGATGCCAGATATTAATCAAGTGCATTGTGCCTTATTAATTGGAGTGAGATGAAATTTAATAATTCCAGTGTGTCAAGCATTTTTTGAAAGTATGGGAAATAAGGGAGCTTTTTTAATCTCCTGATGTATGATGTTTAATGAAGTTATTGTCTTTCTGCAGAATGAAGTCAGAGATGCATAGGGTCATGCATTATCAAAATGCTGACTTGTTTAATAGATCAAATGGTGAACTAGCATTTTGTTATAGACACAGACAAGGTCTTGAGCTCTTACAGCATGTTCATTGTTCTTTCCTAGCTGCTCCATGTGATAATGGAATGCAGGGTGGTTATTGAAGTTTTTGTCTGATGGATTACCCTGTTAACCTGGCACTCCAGCAAATTGTCATATTCTAGCAAACAGGCAGGACATTATGCAAGAGAGTACTTCAGCTCAAAAATCTGTTCAGTGCACCAGCACACTGTGGTTTTAATTTTATTTTACTGTTTTGTAGGATTGCATTGATGTGGGTTGGTGGGAAGGAGAACTCAATGGCAGACGAGGTGTCTTTCCAGATAACTTTGTCAAGCTACTCCCTTCAGATTTTGAAAAAGAGGTAAGCAACATATTCTTTCATTTTCGCTTGAAAATTCAGAATTAAAGTAGATCTGAAAAAAATCCTTTTTCACATATGTGATTTTGACAGAGTTTTACTTCTCATCTAATAACACAAAAACATAAAGGAAAAGAATTCTGGGTTAGAAAGCATCCATAAAATGTGGCACTCAAAGTCATGTTACAGAGTTTCCTTGAAGGGTTTGATTTGCCCATCCAGTTGCCCCACCTGCACTATGCTGCTCTGAAAGCCCTCTGTCGTACAAGTTTGAGAGAGAGAAGAATTAGAGGTCCCAGTCATGTGACGCAATGATATCCAGAATTCTTTAATCTTCTCCACTGTTTTTGTGGTAGAATATGAAAAGTTAAGAGTATCACCTTCATGCTGATGGACAGCAGCCAAGCACTGTTCCAGAACAATCAGGGTGAGATTTTGACTGTGAAATTTGAAAAATAATAAGCTTTTGGTATCTCCGACGTAAATTTATCAGAAGTAAATTTCTTTACCTCTCAGAATTACTAAAATGAAGGTATAAAACCTATGCAGAATTTTCTTCAGTTCCTATTTATTTGAAAAAGATGGCATTGTTTGCCAGACAATATTTAGAAATCTTTTGGTTTCCTGGAATAAAGTAATGGATTACTTCCCCCAAAAGACCATTCCATTTTTAGCAACCTTCTGAGTCATCAGTGGGATATTACAAGCTTGCAATCGGGCTTTTGATGAGTATTTCACAGTGACAGTGTAAGTCTTCCATGATAATACTGAAACTTACTGACTCCCAGCTTCACTCTTTGGCAATAAAAGTAGATGCCAAAGGCAAAAATTAAATAACTTGGAAAGCTTAATAAAGCAACTATTAAACAACTCACAGAGGCTAACATGATAATTATTGAAAAGGAAAGGAGAAGAGCAGCAAAAACTGTGGAAGATGAAAAGGCAATTCCACAGCAAAGTGCATATCCTGGCTTGAGGCCTAAAAATGAATGAAGGTGATTTTTAGAAGAGGCAGAAATCAAAAACCTGAAGACATAGTGAACCTATTATAGAAGAAAAAAATCCTTAGTGGTATCCATTTTTTGTGATGTAATTATTCAGTCTTTTTGAACTTAAAAATTATGTATCTTTAAAGTGATTTTTAGAGTACAATTGAATATAACTCTTAAAGTAAATTAGATATGCAGACACTTGGAAATTACAGCCAGGTTTGCTCTAACTGTGGAGAATAAAATTTTATTAATTTTTGAAATGCCACAGATCTGGCCACTTGAGTAAGTAACTGGTAGGACTATAGACCATCTGTCTTTGCTTGAATCAGTGCTAAAAGGGAAGGAGATAAATACTTTACCAGTGATTTTGTCAGGTATTTTCTGATGTGATCCAGAAACCTTGGATTCCATCCCATGGTCTGAAAGTATTTGTTGCAGTAGTTCTTCTGTCTGTTCAACAAAAGCTTGGGATCTCTTTTCATCTCCTTGTCCAGTCCACAGTTTTCCAAGTCTGACTCTTTCCACACATGCCTATTTGTTCCAGGCCTTTTCTATTCACTGCCTAGTCCCAATCTCCACCTCTCGGGTGGTCTCCATTACAGGATTTTCCCCTGAGCTCACTACCTGAGTCCAGGCTTAATTTTTAGACTGTCTCCATCACGTTCTCCATTATCTCATCCAGCCACAGACCCTTGTAAATCCTTCTCACTCCTCCATGTTCTCCTAAGGAGTCTTTTAAAGCTCCTTCACACTACACCCTTTCTGACCTTGGTCTGTCCTTTTGAAACAATCTATTTCCCTCTTCAGCTTTCAGTTAAAGTCACTTTGTCAAATGAACCATAGGACCCTTTCTCCTTTGTGCCTCTCTAGATAAGTGCTTTGGTTTTAATTAGGAGTGACTGTAGTGAACCTGTCACTTGTCCACCTGCACTTGTTATGCTTTGGAAGACACATCTCATAACTTAGACCCCTTACAGGAGAGAACTAAGCCAAAAGATGCACTAAGGGAGTGCATCTCTTGTATTCCAGCTGCTGATGTATGGTCAGTCAATGGGATCAGTCTCACACCCCTCCCCAATAAAACCCCAAGTGCCTGTTTTGTACTGCTGACTCCTCAGCATCAACTTTTTCACTCTACAGCCATTATCAACAGGACTCCTGGTGCCTATCACAGGACAGTCATTGTCTCTGTCTTGTTCCCATTCCAAATTTTTCTTCCCTTTTCTGCATTTAAACCTTAAACCCTGTTGCCCAAATTCTTGTAGAAGTTTCTCTGAGAATGTAAGGGACTCAGTGTTTGTGGACAATGGCCCATGGCAGCCGGGCTGTAGAAGATTATTCTGATCTCCTAAGTTCGTGGCCACAGCTTTCTCATGTTGATGATGGGAGGTGATCTGCTCAGGGTAAGGTGGTAGGAGAAACTTGAAGGTTGCTGGATGACAACTTTGAGAATATGAAGCTTACCCTGTCTGAGCAAAAGCTGTTTTTTTTTTTTTTCTTCTGCAGAGATGAATACATTTGCTAGATTTGAGAGAGATCCCTTGGAAGGGTATGTGGCAAGCACTGGGCCCTCACAGCAAACCTGCTCTCTTTCAACACTCAGACCAAGAGCTGAGAGTTCTAGGGCAGACACTGAACTAATTACTGCAAGTGAACAAAGCTATTGATCTTTCTCAAAAGCTTTGGCAGATAGAAAATAACTAGGAGGAGCACAGGGATCAATAAGAGTTTGAGAGAAAATACTAGCCTAAGCGGCTGATTGAAGTTTGGCAAAGCTGTGCATATCTGGAAAAAATCATTTTATTTCACATTTGTTCCACAAGACAATATGCATTGCTACATAGCCATCAATATAGTGAAAGTGATTGTGATCAATCTGTAGCAAAGTAGAGAAGGTGCTTCTCAGAAAAAAAGGATGAACATATGGGGGGAAAAATGGGGTTTTTTTTCCTTGGAATTTCTTCCCAAGAATCATGATCGTTTGTTGAGGGATTTTCAAAGTGAGAGATAAAGTGTGTCATTTGATCTAGCATGATGCTCCATTTGGTTTTGTACTCATTCCAACATACTTGTGGTGACTGCCAGTGTGCTGTGCATGCATTCACACACAGCAGCACAAAAGAAAAGCCATCAGCCCCCCAGCCTGCAGGTGAAGAGAAATTATTCTAGCACTGCCAGAACTGTTGGTGGTCATGTTTCTCAGTCTTACTATTACAGATCTATTAGGAAAGTCGTTGTAACAGAGAGGGTGAAAGTATAAAAAGGACAGATTAGTCAGAATAATTCATTTCATTTCACCAAACATCTGAAATTCTGGTCTTTCACAATTGGAACTCTAAATATATCCTAGTAAGTGAATAAAGAGTAACCTTTGCTGTATTTCCTGAGTTCTGCCTTTTGGACTCATTTATGGGTCTGAAAATACCTCAGGTTCTGCCACATGTATCTTGGAGTTTCTTTGTGCTTTTTTTTTTTTTTTCCTAAATGGGTAAATATTTACAAAGTTAAATTTTAAAGAAATATACTTCTTCATTAGATCAAAGGTCATGTATTCCTCCAGTCTTTAGGTACGTAAAGTGAACTTTTTTAACCCCTCAATAGGACATTTCTATTGCAAATATAAAAATGATATTTTATTTGCCAATGCTATGTTCTCTCCTCAAATTCATTTAAATTAAGTTATTTCAGGAGAAATATGTAACATATTTCTAGTCTCATGATTTGTAATTATTAATGTTAAGCAATTTATGATTAACTCCAACCTCTGTATGAATGAGATTTACAGGCCTTTTGAAGCAACCTGTTTTCTTCTGTTATTAAATTTTAGAGACCGAAGAAACCACCACCTCCATCAGCGCCTGTCATCAAACAAGGATCAGGTAAAGTGCAGTTGGTTTTTACAGCACATGTCAGTGAGCACATCTCAGTCTAAATTAAGCGTATTTAAATTTATATAGAATTCATCTGTATCAAAATTGACAAGCAGATGTCTAGACAACAACTAATAAATCACAATCAAATGCAATGGTTAGTACCCCTGAAAGACTGTGGTGGGCTTTAAATGTATTGCAGTCAATCACCTATAACATTTCAAAAGAATCTGTTTTGCCCCTTAATCATATTAAATCAGTGTGATACTTCAGTTTTTCAAATTTTGCTTTTGTTCCCTGACTGAAGTTGATTGTGTGCATGTCCTTGCAGTACAGACACAGTATGTGGAGCTTGATAATACCTGCAGGAGGAAACTGCATTCACTACAGATCTGATTTATTCTAGAGACACAGAGCTTTATAGAATATCTATAAAATAGTGTCACAGAGTGGCCTCCTCTGAGCTGCAGTCTAAGTCTTGCAGATCTGCATGAATTCTGGGTCTGGCTGGCTGCTCCAGGTTATAGGCCATAGATTCTTGGTTTTCAATACTTTTGTAGTTCTAAGTATGAAACTAAAAGGAGTTATCCTGAATAGTTATGTAGATAAACATGTAGAAAAAGTATTAAGGAGCTGATTCTGTTTTCCAAACAGATGAGTGCTAGCAAAACTGATTTTGTTATACTGAATTGTGTGTAGATACTGAGAGCTGAGCATACTTCTATTTGTAATTTTGAAAGGACCTCTCCATATTAATTTTCAAAAGTGGCTGCATGATTTATTTTTGTAATGAAACTTAGGAACAGTTAAAGAATCTACGCACTTGACAGTCCTGAACTTGGAAACCAAATTCCAGTTCCATTCATGTAAAAATACAAATCACAAGATGGGGGATGCTCTCAGAGTTGTCATTTGTATTGCAGTTGTGATGGAAACATAACTGTGGCTGGAATCCCTTAAGCCCAGTCAGTTTGTAAAAACTGCAGCAGCACTACTGCTTCCCCCACTGCAGGCACACATTAAAAATCAAAACAAATATGTCCAGTCTCCAGATAGTTTTCTTGTTACTGTGGCATGTTCCAGCTTTTGGTGCTTTAAAAAGTAAATTTTCCTCTCCTACAGACTTAAGTTGTTAGTAGAAACGCAACTTACACCAATATACAATTTAATTTAATGCTATAATTTAAGTAGTTTGAATTTGTCATGCACTTTTTTGACTACAGAATCATGACCATAAATATTTTTGTTTCTTATTGACATCCGTGGTTTGTTCTTCACTCTGTCTTGAGACTCAAGGAAACATAAATTTCATTTTAAATCAGTAAAATGGTCCAGAGAGAGCAGTATGACTTTGCCATCTAGTGGTGGTTGTATAACAACGCTGTCTTAGTGACCACTGATGTTAAAGCCTGATGTGTTTTGTAAAAAATCTATAAAACTTTATATTTATTTCAATTTATACTGCTATAATTTGAGAATAAGACTTTTAATAGGTACCTGTTTGCATACAATGCTTTAACTGTGTCACCATAGCATTTTACCTTCTGAAATGTGCCCATTTTCAGAAGGAAAAATGGTTGTAAAAAGGATGCAGACAATCTGATTAAGACCTTCTAAGTTTATGTGAAAGCCAAGACTATTGCATTTCTTTCTTTTCATACTCATTCTTTGACAACTCCTGGCTGATCGGGCACAAGAGTTTCTTCTGATACATATCTAGAGCTGAAAAATCACCATGTGTTTATTAACATCCTGCCTTCTTCTGTCAAATTATTTCTTCACTGAGATTATACTGGGTTTTGCCACATCTCCACATCAGGTCTTACTGTTGGTAACAACTTCAATAATGCTTGTGCATATTTGACCAGTCACAGTGTGTTAAATAAATTTAAAACTGTCCAGCCCAAATATTTAAATGTCAGCATCTTCTAATGCAGAGTATACAATCAAAGCAGAGAATTAGAACTTGTAGTACAAATGGCATATGTGTAACAAGGTGTCTATATTATAGTAGAGATAGAAATTTATATTCTCCACAGCAGTAAACATCCAGGGCCATCTGTGCTGCACTTTACAAAGCAGGGTGAAAACTGGAGAGCCAAATTTAGGAGCACAAGCTCCATAATGAACTAGTAATTTAAAAGCATTTCACTGGGTAGCTGGGGTAAGCAACACAACTGAGTCCAGACCGAATGGTGGAAATCCTCTTGAGTTCCTCTGGGAGCTGATACAGAGCTTCCCAAAGTGTCCTTGAAGGTGACTGTTGCCTGGGAACTAAGGCAGGGCTATGCTGCCTGCCTGGGTGATGATTAATTTGGGGGTCACAATCCAAGTAGGAAGAACAACTGAGTCTGGGAGCTCCTCTGTGACTGTAGGCTCATAGTTCTAGATTTAGCCTGAGAATGTCCCTCTGTGTGTTAATGATGACTGTTAATCATACTGTAATTAGATATAGACTTATGTGTCTTTCTTTTTGAACACTAATTTGTGCAAGATTATCGATACATTGACTTGTGCTTTGCATAACTTGTGTTTTGAAAGGCTTTAATTGCTTAGGAGCAGCAGCTTCTCCTCTCAGGAGTGAAGTCTTTTTCATAGAATTATTTCCATTGGAAAAGACCCTTAAGATTATTAAATCCAACCATAAAAGAGAATTTGATATCATTTATTGACATGCATGTGGTACTATTGCCTGTCCAACAGCACCCTTGGGTAAAGAAACAATGGCTGGTGATCACCACTGATGACTACTGATTTCTAGGAACCAGCTGCAGAAGGGAGTTGCAACAGCACATTCAGAAAATGTAAATGCACTTGAGAACTGCATATAATAGAATAGATAGAAACAAAAAATTGCCTTGTGCTCCTTGCCCTGTCTTCTCTGCTTTTCTTGGATTTCAAATACTGTAATTTTTATTGAAATGCTAATAGTGTTACCTAAAGTGGTTTTCAACACTACTAAGTTGAAATGGCATTAGCACTTAGTGGTTAGCCAATGCAGCAAAGCCAATATCCAATAAAGTGTTTGTTATAACATGGGGATTAGAAGATTTTATCTTGTATGTGCCAGGAAATTTTTGCAAAATCTTCCCGTTATTGGTGCCACAAGTTCTCATATTTCTTGGAGCTACAGAAGTCTGTATGTCAGGGCCTCTAGTACAGATGCAAAAGAAGCCTGGGGCTTACACCTCCAGGCCAAAAGCTGTCAACTAAAATAGTCATGCAAATAGTCATGCAGAATGCTGCCAGCACTGCTCTCCTCCTCCTTCTAATCTGTGGAAGTGAACAGGTACTAGTAGTGGAGAAAAAGGGGAGGGATGTGTTAATTTAATGTAAAATAACCTCTGCATATTCAGCTCCACCACGCATTCTCTTGACATTGCTCAATTAATTTATTTATTCCAATGTTTCTGCACACTGTTGAGCTGCTCTTCATTTATGTCTGTAATTATAAAGGATTTGTCCACATTTTTAAATCTGCAGTTATCGATTTTTTGTTCCTATAGAATAGTCAGTCTTCTTTGGGATTGCACCCTTCAGAAACTGTGAATTTGATTATAAAGACATAAATATACAATTACTTTTTTGTCATTATGGTACAGGTGAATATTTTATATAAATTTATGTTCAGTTTTAGCAAGACGTTTCCAAATTGGGGAATATAAAAAGCCAAAGAAATTGCAGAATTAAATCTTATGTCACTCTTTTGTTGGCTTGGTCAGAATTCCAAGTTTTTCTGTCTTTGACAGGGACCACAGATCGAAAGCATGAAATCAAGAAGATACCACCTGAAAGGCCAGAATGTCTTCCTAATCGAACAGAAGAAAAAGGTATGAAATGTGCTTTCCTGCCTGTTCTCTGCAGAGAGATGAGGGAAATAGAACCAATGCACATCCTCATTTCCCACTCTGTTTAAGTGTATTGTTTGGATGTTTGTTTTCCACTCTGATAGACTGTGATGATAGGCATTTTGGAAAGGCTCTCATTGCTGCTTATGGACTGAATTCAGGGGGTTCAATTGTACCCATCCAGAGCTGTTGAGTACATGCAGCCACAGCTGAGGTCCAGGGGAGATTTGCCCTCAATACATGAAATGCCATATTAAGCCCAGTGCTCTGTAAAACCCAGGTGCTCAATCAAGTAAAATACCACAGATTAGTGTGTACTTTTTTCTTAACATCTGTCTTCTTTGGTTCTCTAGTTGAAAGCTGAGTTGGTGGCTTTCCTGCATCACAAAGGGATTTTGTGGACATACAGTCATTAATGCTTATGAATCACCCCATTATCATAGCCACAAAAGTCACAGGCAAGGCAGCAAAGAAATGAAAAAATCCTTCAAAGCCATGTTTGAACATTGCGAGAAATGGGACACAGTACCACACAGAGCAGGGACAAGCAAATTAAGCCTTTAATGGTGTCATTGTGTTCCTTGTGAATGGTGAATAGTCTCAGGAAAATAGTTACATCTATTCTCTAATTGAAGATGGTGCCAAGTTTCATATGTTAAGTGGACTATTAGATTGTACGAACAAGTTTGTTATGGGATTTAAGTATTTGAACTTGCAGCCTTTTAAAAGGCATGTGTATGCACATGACTAAATGCATAATATGGAGTTTTAATTTAATGACAGAACCTTCAGACTTTGTACCAAGATCTGTTTCTGGGTATACATCTTAGTGATCTGACAAGTGTTTTAGCTGTTTCTTTTACATAGGTTTACTTTTGGTTATGTGTGCTTCTTCTCATGGTTATCTTAGCAACAAAACCCTTTGCTTTCCGTTTTTGGATTTACAAAGCTGACTGCTAAGGCAGCAGAGGAAATTTAAATATGTTACTCTCCTGAGCTATAAATATCTGTAACTTTTCTAAAAATTTGAGAAGAAGCTGTAGGAGTAGTGCCTACATTTCAGGAGTACCAGGGAGTGGCAGGAATGGCTCATGTGATGTGGCAGCAGGGGTGGCACAGGAACATCCTCTGAGCTGTGTGTTGGCACACTGCCCAGCCTGTCCCTCATACAATTTAGATTCTTGGACACTGACGCAGTATAAATTGTCATAGGATTAAATGTGTAAAAATTACACAGTGTGCTGGAAAAGCTTCAGTGTTACTGAGGACCCAATGACTGCATCTGCTCAAAGGATACTGCCTGTGAACAATAGTCAGTAGCTGGACTATTCCAAACCTAATGTGCATTGTTTTTCTGGGGATTTATTCCATGATCCTCTCATTAATGGGTTCTCATTAAGAATCCATTAAGCAATATCCTGTCACATTCCCAATACCTCTTTAATGTATACAGAGGTGTAATATTCACAGCATATCATAAGCAGCATTGTCAAGGGAAGTGGGGTATTGAAATAGTAGGATATAGAGAGGAGAACTTTAGTTCATTGGAGAGTTTTGTCCTTTCCTTAAGAAAAATCAGGTCTTGGGTGTGGCAAACATGCTTACATGTTTGTTTTATATTAGGAATTTAGAGCATGTTATTTAGAAGAGTTATTCATGTGTATTGCACTTTACACATGCACAGGTGTTGCATGTTTGGCATTGGATATTAGCATGGTGGCACTCCCTAACTATGCGTAATCCATCCTGCAAATGATTTAGGTTTTCATCAGCAACCTCAAAAATTCACCATGTAAGTCTCAGCTTAAAACCTAAACAATAGGTCTGATTTTTCTGAGGGGCTTACATCCTGCTAGACATTGTTAAATTTTTGTGCTTGTATTTCATTTTCACTTAACTGCAGTTCACTTGAAACATGCTTTTTTCCCTCCCAAAAATAGTATTTCTCTGTTTGTCCAAGGGATGTTAAGAATATCCAGCATAATTATTTTTGTGACCTCCTAAATTAATATAGTTTCATTTTAAAATTTAATATAAGTTTTGCTTATGGGAGGTTGTACCATATGGTATGTAATTTCTTGCCATTCTTGTACTTTACAGTCAAAAAACAGTAAGTTACTAAAATAAAAAATAGTATTCCCATCAAGATGCTGCACGCATGTTTTGGTTGAGGAGATCCAGGCAGAACAGCCAAGAAGGTTAAACAACTGATCTGTGGCAAATATATCAAATAAAGAATAATTTAGAACAGAAACAGGAAGTTTTTTCTTTGTATACAGTCTATCTACAGTTGAAGATCTCTTCTTTGAATGACTTGTGAGTGCAAATGAATTCCACTTAATAATATCCCTGTTCTTTTTTCTGGAAATGATTGATTTAAAGAAAGATCAGAGAGAGAGCAAAAACAGTTAGACTTGCAGAAGCCTTCAGTTCCTGCTATACCTCCGAAGAAACCTCGGCCACCCAAAGCCAACGCTGTGAACAGACCTGGCACCTTGCCCCCAAGACGACCAGAAAGACCAGTTGTGCCTGTGACTCATGCAAGGTATTGCTTTTCTTCTGTCCAGTGCTTTTGGGATTAGTGGAAAAAAAACACATTTAAAGAATTTAGGTTTTGCAGTTTATGTCCCAATTTATTTCACAGTAAGTGTATTTAAAGAACAACAAGAAAGAAGAAAATAGTCATCTGGCTGGACCATAACTATCTTCTCAATAATAGCAGTCTTAGATTGTTCATGACTAGTTCATTGCTACTGATGAAATTCTGCTGTTACTGCAACAGTGCAGAATGTATTGGAAATGCTTGCACCAAAATGTTACTCTGATCTTGACTTTCTTAGTTTACCTCAAATTATTGCAATTTAGCTCGGGTATTAAGTCAATGCAAAAGCTTGGATTGCATTGAATAGCATTAGGCAATGCACATTTCAAATACTGTCAGCCTGGTTTCAGTCTGCTTTCTTTGATCATTTTAGATCAAACTTTAGCAAAATACACATCTTCAGAGCTCTTTTAGCTGATGCCACTGAAGAATAGTGCTGTCAAGTAATTATTTTCTAATGTTGGTTGTCACTCTGCAGTTACATGATGCTTTTTATCAGAGGAGGAGCACTGAGGAGCACTGAGAAATTGGACTTGCCAACATAAGTCTATTTATTCACTGCTAGAGGAAAGGTTGCAGAAATTAAAGGCCTCACTGTAGTCCTGATCAAGTCTACAAGGCTGTCTTTTAGTCATCACCAAGTGGGTTGTGCACTGTATATTTCATTTATGCATAGTGAATAGAGTTAGATGAAAACCAGAATACAACAATTGCCTAAAATGGGCAAACTGTGCATCTTGCAGACAAACTAGAATACAGGCATGAAAATATTTTTACTATTGTCCTGTTAGGAAAATTAGCTGCCATTGAACAACTGGAATTCAAGTATAGTAATGGTGAATTAAATACCATAATAGAGTAAAGGTTAGAGTAGAATGAAATGCTAGACATTGATTCCATTCATTCCTCCACATATTGTTAAATTAAAAAATTTAACCAGTGAGAAATCTGGGGCAAATAAAAAGAAAAAAAGGCACCTGCCTTGGGCTGCCGGTAAGTTTCATCTTACTGACATGCTTTAGTTGTACATTTCTGAGAACTTACCCTTCTATCCAGGTGCTATTGCCACAATTTCTTTTGGACTTGGGTTTGAACATGCTTGCCCATTTGCTTCAGAAATGCAGTCCTTACCTGCTGATTACCTGGGTATACTTGGAAATACAAGTATTTGCTACAATCTTCAGATTTAGCAATGTGATGTCTTGGAAAGACCAAAACATACCCTAGTGTTCAGTTCACTGGTGAGGCATGCAATGGAGTAGCTATTCTTTTGTTCTAGCCTTTGCTTGAAATATTGTAAACATGTTATAAAGTTTTAGCATTTAGAATTTTGGAAGGTTATTTTGCTGCTCTTTTGTTTTCCTTTTTTTTTTTTTTTTCTTAAGTACAAAATTTTATGAAGTAACCATGTATTTTTAAAGATACTTCATTTTCATGTTATCAAAGGCAAAGGGCACACCTAAACAGAAACCTTTTTATGTTCTTAATAGTCCAAACTTCGCTATGTCTAGCACAGAAAAAAATGGAAAATACTTTTAATTACTTGGATGATTAAGAAATATGAAACTTCCAAGTGGAAGCAGTTATTTCAATAAAGGTGTTTTGTTTTAAAATCCATTCAGTTTAATAAGATAGTAATTGTTTTAAGACCTACTGGTATCCATTTCCAAAATCTGAAAAAGCAATTAGAATAAAAATTCAGTCAGCAGAACTTTTGCTGACCTGTTTAACCCTGGTGGGCAGCTGAGCCTCGTGCAGACACTTGCTCAGTCTCCCACAGTGGTATGGGGGTGAGAATCAGAAGGGCCAAAGTAAAAACCTTGTGGGTGGAGACAAAGACAGTTAAACAGGAAAAGCAAATGATGCATGTGCAAGCAAAGCAAAGAATGTTGCTGCTTCCCATGGGCAGGCAGGTGTTCTGCTATCCCCTAGAAAGCTGGGCTTCATCACCTGCAGTGGTGACTTGGGAAGACAAATGCCGTAACTGCAAACATCCCCCATCTCCTTCTTCCCTCACCTCTATGTGCTGAGTATGGCACCATGTGGTGTGGGACATCCCTTGATCCATTGGGGTCAGCTGTGTCCCCACCCAACTCCTTGTCCACCCCCACCCTCCTACCTGGTGGGATGACAGGAGAAGCAGAAAGGGCCTTGACTGTGCAAGCACAGCTCAGTAACAATGAAAACGCCTTCTGTTATCTACGCTGTTTTCAGCACAAAGCCAAAACATAACACCATGCAAGCTGCTATGAAGAAAACTGAGTCTATCCCAGCCAAAACCAGTACATGATCATTAGGGGAAAATTGCTGCAGTTAGAGTGAGTCCTGTGAGATTTCCATGGCAGCTGCTAAGTGTCCTGAGTCCTGAGTAAGTGGCTTGCATCTCATTGTCTTTTTGTGGTGGCGATTGTTTTTCCATTTAAATATAATTCTCCTTCACTGGAGGCAGAGTAGGGCTTCAAGGGCAATAGGACAGTTAAAAACCACGTGAATCAGTTTGTTCCAAAGGCTTCACAGCTTACTTAGACATACCATGATTATACAATTTATAGGTAAGTCAATTCCCTGGAGTAGGCAAGCCATAAATACCTATAGTAGGTGCATCTTTAAAATCAGTTTAAAGCAATCCATGTCCATGCCACTGCTAACAGGGTTCCTTGTCCTGGCACCCCATTCCCACAGCCTCTCTTATGTTTAGCACCAGCATTTGTGCAACTGCACAGCCATATGGGTCAGGGAGTTGCTCCAGATGGCAATTAATCAGTTTGCAGTGGGACTTCTGTTAGTGTGGGGGTTCTTTCAGGCTGATTATCTGTCTGGTCAAGCTGACAGCCTGTCTGTGTGGGCACAAGCAGAGAGGGACACTGTGAATGAGAAGGGAGGATCCATTCCTTTCACAATAATATGGATGCAGAGTGGCATAAAAAGCCTGTTGATTCTTTGACAACAGGATTGGGGTTTTCTTGTGGAGCTGTTGCCGTATATCTTGGTATCTTTTGTAGGCAAATGGTAAATGTTGTGACTTTCAGCCCTAAATCATGGCTTTCTAAGAATCTCTTCAAAACCATACTCACACATTTCCTCGAGTGCTTCCAACTCACATTGTGCTCTGAAATTGCTGAGAAATATATGTGTGCAAAACAGAGTATGCAATCAGATGCTCATTGCTCTGTCAGCCAAGAAACTATGTTGCTTCTTATAGGTTTCCAAGTATATTAGCAATATAAGAAAAAGTTAAATCCTAAAAAATAAGAAAAATAATTGTTCTGGTAGATCACTTGGAAATACTCTTATTTATCATCTTGTCAATTAATACATTTTTGTATGCATGTGTTAAATTACTTCTGTGTCCTTCCTGGTGCAGACTGCCTGCCATATTGAGAGCTGTGGAGGAATGGTTTGCTATTAATCTGATTGTCTGTTTTTTTGTTCACTGGTCACCCTATCACAGGGTTTAATGGGATATACATTCACTTAATCTATGACCTCCTCCGGGTTTTAATAAAAAATTTCAACTCTTTATCACAGCCTTCCTGAAGGCTGAAATAGGGTTTCCAGCCACTTTGTGTTTTGCTTATAAACTGCTGCCATGAGCTGAGGTTCAGACCATCTGTCATCAGCTTTTGGTATCAAAAGCAGTGACCAATGAAAAAATCAACAAGATTTGTGAGCTCACTACATATTTTACTGTCAACAGCTAATTATTGCACTGTGTAGTACATATCTGCCTGGGTTTTTTCAGGGCAGATCTATATCTTTATCTCTGAGTTGGGTACCTTACATACATTATAATTTTTATAGTGTTACACTGGGAATAGTCATTGTGGAAAAGCGATTGTATTTGTCAAGTGACCTGATAATGATGGCAAGTACAATATATTGCATTAACTGAACAGTTATTGTCACAGTAAATATCGGAGATTTGTGTGACCTGTGCAATACGGAGTTACCCGCCTACCACTCTTGGGTTTTTTTATATTGTTTCAGTAGATAGATTATTTTAGTAAACTCAAGTACTTGTGGGGTAGAATGGTCTCCAAAGCAGGGATAATTTTCTTGCTTTTGTTTGATCTTCTGTTTGATTTTAACATAGCCCCTCTGTATAAAGTATTGTAGTTCCTGACACTTTACTGTTCAAAAGACATTTCTGACAAATTAGGTGATCTTGGTTCTTTGGACTATGGAAATAGTATTCATAGTCTAGTCTCATAAGAAAAGTACAAAAACATGGTGGAGGAGTTGCATTTATGAGTAAATACTTGGAACTGCTGAAACACACAGTGCTAGCTTGAGGTTCTCTCGCTTTCTGCAGCATTCCAGGTAGTCCACTGCTGTAGTTTGTGCAAGCCAATTAATTAGAAAAAACTACAAAGAAGATGTTGAAGAATGTTCCCTTGCACTTAGGTTTCCTTCGTGTTGAGATGCTGTGAACATCTGAAGAATTATTCCGGACACTACAGTGTCTAAAACAGGCTTTTTGGACAGGTGTTAAGGAGAAACGGGATAAGGTTAATCCGTACAGCATGTCGACTTGCTAGAGATTGCTCTTGCTGACATTGCTGCTACTCTGGTGCTGCAAAGGAAGAATACTTTGCTCTCTTATTATTAATTGCAAGTTAGCTACCAATTTACTGTAACTCACACAAAAACTCCCAATAAAACATCTCCTCTTCTTGATCCAAATGCAGGAGTGATAGTCCAAAAGTGGAATTAGTGGGCAGTACAGTATCCGGCACTCTAGAGAAAGACTCCTCTGAAAGAAGCAATGACATCGGTAAGTTATAGTGCTTGCTACACTTTGCCTAAGAAATTTATGGTGCAAGTTTCTGCTTTTTAGTGACTTTTGTATGATTCAAGAGTGAAATTGAGGATTTGGCAATGAATGTGAGTGCTTTTATATGACATTTTAAAAGATTACAGGATTAAAGGATCATTTCTACTTAAAATAGTTTTGTTGGGGTTTTCTATTTTAAAAAAATTAAAACAAATACGGAATAGTGAGCTATTTTGAATAGGAAGGCTCTTGTTCTTTTTGTTTAAAACTCTGAAACAAGTGATAAGGCCAACAATAATAAGGCATACTTGTTTAACTGATGTAATAGTGCTGCCATGATTTTAATACTGCAAAAGATTGTGGGTTTGCAGTTAGTAATCTTTTAACACTTTCCAATACAAAGGAACAGAAACCCAGTTCAGGTAAATTTGACTAAATTTTACTGCATACACTAATTAAAAGCAGTCTAAATTTCTATTGTAAACAACTTGTGTTCCTGACCCATGAACCTTTTAATCAGGAAGTCACCTGGAAAGGAGCAACAACGGGTTATTTTTTGGTCTTCTCTGAGCCTCCTTCCTCCTCAAGCTGGCAAAGCAAGCAGGAGCGCTGGTGTTTGCTGGGTGGGTGCTGCAGAGCGTGGTCCCTGGTGAGCAGGGTGCAGCCAGCGCTGGCCGGGGCAGCGGGGAAGCCCCAGAGCCATGTTCTGCCCTGGCCCGAGAGCCCAGCAGCTGCTGCCGTCACTCTCGCAGCTGTGCCCGCACAGACCGTGTTTGGCTCCGGCAGAGCCCGGATCCTGCCTGCCCTAGCGCTGCTACCTTTCAGCAGGGCAGGAAATGTCATTTTGGTGTGCTGGTGTCTCCCCAGACTGCCTTATTAGTGAAGCGTTTCTGTACAATAGCATCCTTTCAACAGCCAAATATGCCTTTTCCTCAGATTTGGAAGCAGAACTTCAGGTTATAAAGGAATTTTAATTGCAACATAATGATGGAACACTAAATGCATTTCACATAGGTCTATGAGCTTTCCAGCATACATATATCATATCTGCTTTTTGTAAAGCTTCTGCTGTTGCTATGGTTCTTCTGGAGTAGCAGGTTTTGGTTTTTTTTTCCAGATTTTCATTTGGCTTAAACATGAAAAGCTAGAAGCTCATGATAAATTGCATGAACCTTTTTATTGTAGAGTTTATTATAAAGGAATGGTACGGAAATGAAGACAAATTCTACCATTTAGTGTTTCTTAACTATGTTTACAAATTTGCTTCAAAGCACATAAGCCTCTGCTTACTTGAAAGTTATAAGTGCAGGTAGCATATGCTTACCTGTGTGTGATGGAGGTAAACTTTTTTATTCCTTATTCCAGTTTCTTTGGAATCAGGATAAAAGCTTAGAGTGCTTTGTATTTTTAAGTTTCAGTGGTTATGGTTTTATTTTGTTTTGTTCTTAATATGTCAGGCAGAAAATCTGATTTATAGAAATTCTTGTTCATCTCCAGAACATGGAGAGGGAGAGGAGGGTAGCAGAAGCAGGAATTTGGATTGTTTTGGGTTATTTTTTTTTAGATGCAGAATAGGAGCCAACAAGAACCCATAACATGTTGCAAAGGGTTCAGCTGATGGCCTCCTGTTACCACTTACATAGAGAACCTATTGAGCTCAAGGAAAAAATAGTGTGAATACTTAAATAAGTATAACTTGATAGGGTCAAACCGGAATGGCATTTACAAGGGCAAATCATGTCATTCTAGCCTGTTAGACAACTTGTTAAAAGAAAAAAAATAAATAAATTATGGGTTTGAATTGAAAGCGGATCCAGAGATCAGAACTGTTATAAATTTTCAAGCAGCTTTTGACAGCTTGTGTAAAATATTGTCGAATAAATAAAAGGCATTTTAAGAGAGGGCAGAGCAATAAATCAAGGCTTAATAAGGAAAACCAATTCAGAGTGGATTAATGTCTTTTCCTATGAGGAGTGGTTTGGAGTTCAGAGCAGTTTATGGTGCAATGTAATTGTAGAGATTTATGGTAAGCATGTGATTTTGTTTAATTTATTTGCAAAAAGAGCAGGCTGGAGAAGTCTTGTGGCTACATGAGTTATTAGAAAAGGTGATGGATGTGTGAGTGGAGTTGTCCAGTGTATTCCAAAACACTGGTGGCTCTGGCTGTATGGGTCCAGATAATATTTTAACAGTGATATATCTTACTGGTTTTGCCCCTATATCATGTGCTCTGTAGGAAGGACAATCTCAGCTTCTCTGAGGCTCATCCATCCTGTCAAAATGGATTTGATTAAATCTACCATTTGGTGTCTTTTCAGAAATCCAAATTTACACAACAAGTTAGGGTGGACCAATGTGACAGGCAAGGTGAGACTTAGCAGTAGCCTTTGAAGAAAGTTGTAGTTAAATGGCCTTTGTAGCAGCTTGGATGCATGACCATTCTGGTTACTGGACTCCTCTTTATTGTTCCATCAGTCCAACACCATTCCCAGTCACTCAGAGCTCTTGGGGAGAACAGGGGGAAAAGCAACAATCATTTTCAAGTTGTCTCACCCTCTCTTGTGCTTATGCTAAGTACTGATGGTAAATTGTGCACTGAAAATGAATATCACAGCACCTCCTGGCTACTTTGCACTAGAGATATTAAGTTGAGTAGTGGCTGTCACTTTCTTAGTCCTATAGCCAGTCTAAAGCTCTTGTTCCTTCCATGCAGAGCAGAGAGAGGGACAGAAAACAATGGAGAGACAGTTTTGGTTATTAAAGCAAAGCAAACTAATGCTGGATGGAGAGAAGTTGTTTATTCTTTGAAGCCTTTTTAAGGATTTCTAAGTTGGTTCCTTTGTTTTACTGTGAAGAGACAAATACCTCTGTGGTGGGGGAGGAGAAGATACAGGGCTCTCCATATGCCATCTCTCAAAAAACAAACAAGTGATCAGCAACAGCGAACTCAGTGAATCAGCCATCAACAACTGAGCAGCAATATGCTGAGCTGAATTGGGAATCCAGATTCAAAACTTGTATTTTGTTTAGGTCCCTTGGAATGGCTTTTTCCTGTTTATTTTCTGAGTAACATTCTACCAGTGGATCAGTGTTGTCTAACCAGAAAATCCCACACCGTTAAAAACATTCTCCCCCCCACTTTACCAATCAGGAAAATCACAAATGCTTGAGCAAGGTTGAGTGACGTGTAATACTGATAATAATGTTCTGTGAGTTACATATATAAAAACATTATTTTTATGTAGATATTAGCTAATAACATGGTTTCCTTAACATGTTCAGCAGAGCTGTGACTTCACATGTAAATTTCTTGATGATAATTCAGTACTGATTACAATTTTCCAAACTGCACTGACAAGAAAAAGTTCTGCTTAGCAACATCACTGCTGATTGTAGATATAATCGCCACCCTTATTCCTGTTGTCCGTGCATTTACTTTTTTCACACTGTTTACAAAAGCCATTGGAAAATTAGCCTTCAGAATATATTATTTAAGAGGAACCATTCCCCATTCCTCCTCACTTTTTCTTTTGTTTTCTTTTTTTCCCTGTTTTCAGTGATGTCTTTACTTTCCTTTCCACACATCTTGCATTCAACTTTTCCTATTTACATCTCTTTGCCATGGCTAACTCCTCTTCATTTCATGAGGGTAAGCTTTTTTTTTTTTTTTTTTTTCCTCCATTTATTTTCTGTCCTGTCTTTGGTTTAAGTTTACAATGCATATACAAGTAAATACAAAAAGAAGCATTTCACAGAATACCAAAGTTTACATGGATATTACAGGATTTTTTAAATTAAAAGTTGAAATTGATCCTACTGTGACAGAAGATCTTGCATCATAGTATTGAAGTGAGAAATCATTATCATTTAATGTATCATAAGAAATTTTAGTGACTAAGGTGACATGTGCAGTTTACACGTGGTGTTTCTCAATGTTCTGGATTCATTAACTTGTTCTTGGAGACAGATTTTGTCATTACAAAGTGTAATGCATGTGTTTCATTGTGCAAAAGCATTTAGAAACATACTAGTATGGTTTTCTAGTCTGAAAGAGGAAAAAAATCACAACAACCATACAGTAAAAATTTGAAGAGTGTTCAGGGGCACTCAGTGGAAAATGTGTGGTCGTGTACCCAAGGCTGTGGTTAAATCTCAGTGATTACTTACATCTGTTGGTACATTTCTACCAACAACTGCTCTGCATTGGCAATGGTTTTTTGAGCTTGTAAAATGCTTCTAAAGCAACATAAGCCATATTGACAATAAACTCTATTCTACAAGCTGTTGTTCCTACATAGAACTACATTGATTTCAACAGCTTCAATTCATGCCTTATGGCATTACTTGACCTTTCTTTAGGTGATGTGTTTATTTTTAATTTCATAAAGAATTTTGTATATAAGGGCCACTGTGAAGACAGAAACATCTAGCAGATAGAATAGCTTAGTAGATGTAATGGGTTGAACACTGACCAAATGCCAGTGTACCTACCAAAACACTAGATCAAAAACTAATGCTTTCCAAAAAATGAGACTGAGTTACTTCTTCAAGTCAGGATCAATCCTACATCTTTTAACTACACACAAACACACACACACACACACACACACACACACACACACACACACACACACACACCAAAAAAAAAAAAAAACAACAAAAAACCACACACAGAGTTTGGAATCCTAGAATCTTGAACAAGTCTTGTCTATCCAAAGCAGGGTTGCTTTGGCATCAACTAATACTTAAATCCATATGGATTTAAACTAAGTGATGTAAGGAATAAGCCACAAAGAGTTTAAAATAATGTGTGTACTGTGGAAGTGATCTGTTAATCCCCACAATAAGCTGTTTCTGTGCTTTGCAAAAGACTGAGTTGCACAGAGCCAGGTGGACACATCTTTCCAGTATTTTTCCTGGCTCTTTATACATTTTGCTTAATATTCATGAAAGAATAACCTTCACCAGTGCTAAAATAAGGTACATATGCCTTCATTGAT